TTTTTTGTCCCAGGAATTGAACTCAAGATTATTGAGCTATCTCTCTGGCCTCCAAAATTCAGGTTTTAAAAGACTCATGCCTATCTTAGTGATTCACAAATATTCTAGTCCCCTTGACAGAAGTAATGGTAACAAATACTGATTCTCCAGCCTAATGATAACAAAACGTCATAAATCCACCCACTCTTTTTGGTCTGGTGTTATTCACTCAGCAATATTTTTTTCTTAATTTGTTTTCCTAGGGATATCTTTCTTTCAGTAATAAGACATGCTGAATAGTCAATAGGAAACATCTACTTTACAGGATTTCTTTCACTTTTGTGTGGTAGCAGGTGCCTGGAGTCTCAGCTACTTGATCAGCTGGGACAGAATTGTTTCAGCCCAATAGTTCAATATCAGCAGGGGAAATTCAGTGAAATCACATCTCCAAACAAACAAATGACATCTCCAATCACATCTCCAAGCCTTTAGCAAGACTGTTAAGAGGCCAGCTGGCCTCTCTCCCCGATTATCCACTTCCCACATCCCACTGTTCCTGACCGTTTCCTACCTGAAGTGCTTTAGAGAGGCCAGGTTTTCTGACCAGTACAGGAGCTGGTGGTGGCAAAAGAGGAGGCGGCGGCGGTGGCGGAGGAGGAGGTGGTGGGGGAGGAAGGTGGCTGCTTGGTGGTGGCAGCGTGGGCGGGAGCATGGCTGGGGAGATTCCAGGGCTGGTTAGGGCACAGACAGACACATTTGCAAGTTTACCACTCGTGTGACACTGTTGCCCACAGCTTGGACAAGACTCTTCCGTGAGGGTCTGGAAGAAGAAGACATTATATTAGGCAAATGAATAATGCGTTCATCTGGTTCTCCTGGGCAACCTGATATGAAAGCTACCACACATTTGAATGCTTCCTGACTGTGTTGCAGGCTTCATAATATTTTCTCATTTAATGATCATAGCTTTCACTGTTTCATTCATTCATTTGTGTAATAGGAGCCTCGCTGTGACTTTGAAGACAATAAACATACATAAATGCTGAAATCCTAACAGCCAGGGATACAGCTCAGCAGCGCTGTGCTTGCCTAGCAAGCACAAGGTCCTGAGTTGGATTCTCGGTTCAAGAAAGCAAAATAGTTCAAACATAACAAGGCCATAGGAAGAGCCATTAAGTGAGCTCTGAGCACAAACAGCTGGAGTCTTGGGGGATGGGAGCTATACCCCGGAAGGCTAAAGCAGGAGGATATACAATTTGAGCCCAGAATAGCCCACTCAGGGAGATGGCTCAGTGGAATAAGCACTTCCC